AAGTGCCAGCCCCCCAGAGCCCCCCAGTCCAAGGGAAGTGGGAGGGAAAGACCCTCAATGGACAGAGGCCAAGGCCTTCCCGATGTGCAGCTTCTCCATGAACACAGGACCGCATCGCTCACGGCCCCGCCAGACCTGACAGGGGGCCGGTGCAGCCAGGGGCCTGGAGCCAAGCTTCCCCATGTTCCGTGAACACCCCCAAGCCTGCAGAAAGCAGGCAGGGGGCGCTAGAGCTCCTTTCTTAGCTGCTGAGTCACACTGCCAGACAGGAGGCCCAATGCCCCCCAGGTGGCCCCGGGCAGGTGTAAGCGCCGCCCTGTGTCCACTTGGTAAGGGGAATGATAAAGCTTGAATTAAAATGTAAAAATACAGATTCAGAATGTCCCCATGCTATAATAATTACTATGAACATGACCACCAGTTTGGGAACATGACCAAAGTTACACAAAGTACTGATCTTGTAATACAAGTGAAACATTTCTCAGAGTGTCTCCTCCCCCCTGCGCCCTCCAAATGGTCTCCCACTTTTGAAACTGAACAATGAAAATATGACCCTTTCACCGTCTTCCTGAGAAAGAGAACACCAGAGCGGAGCTTGTCCCCGGGGGCAGTTTTGGTCTTTCTCTCACCCCCTGTGGGTCAGTGGGAAACTCCCCACCTGTGTGCTGAAGGGTGAGCTGAGCGCGGGGCGCCTAAGTCTCCTCCGAACACACCGAGCATGTCTCTGTGATCAACGATAATCTTGTTTCCCATGCACTAAAGCCTTCGCATAGAAACAAACAGCTGGTCTTTTGTAGCTTAGCGGAATTAGGATTTCCCCGAGGCCGGATTTCCATTTGAATTGCCCGAAAGTACATGGAATCAATGTGGCCCGATACACAGCTCTGTGGCGGAGGCGTGAGCGGGAGGAGACGCCACACAGGCTCCACTGGGCTCATCACCAGGATTTTATTTATTTACTTTAAAAAAATTTATTATTTAAAAAAATATATATTTTATTGATTTTTCACAGAGAGGAAGGGAGAGGAATAGAGAGTGAGAAACATCGATGAGAGAGAAACATCGATCAGCTGCCTCCTGCACACTTCCCACTGGGGAGGAACCTGCAACCAAGGTCCATGCTCTTGACTGGAATCAAACCCAGGACCCTTGAGTCTGCAGGCCAATGCTCTATCCACTGAGCCAAACTGGTCAGGGCCATAACCAGGATTTTAAACAGCAGCATCTCCCTAACCCCAACCGGACGACGGGTTGGGCAGAAGCGGGCTGACAGTGGTGAGCCCGCAGAAGTCTCTTCTTGTACCCCTCAGTAATTATTGTACTATTTTCTATACAAGCAACTGCAATCCTACTTTTGTCCACCCCTGTATGATTCACGAGAAGAAAGTTATGAACACCCTAATAAAAATATAGGAACCTTGCCCAGTTGGCTCAGTGGCTGAGCATTGACCGATGAACCAGGAGGTCTCGGTTTGATTCCTGGCCAGGGCACATGCCCCGGTTGTGAATCCCCACTAGGGGGCATGCAGGAGGCAGCTGACCAATGATTCTCATCATGGATGTTTCTCTCTCTCTCTCTCTCCCTCTTCCTTCCTCTCTGAAACCAATAAAATCATATGTTACAAATAAAATATCAGGAGCCAACCCTTCCAGATAGATGGTATGTTCAGGGGATACTACAAATTCATAACCTGTTTTAGCATCAAAATCCCCACGGTTTTGTGAAAAGCATAAAAGGCAATGAAGACAGGAGGATGACGGACGGCGAATAGCCTTTGCTTCCTGCGGGGAATCTCGGTGTGCTCCTAACTGTTTAATTTCTCCTTCGTCTCTCTTTCAATGAAGCTCCCGGGTTGTATTCAATGAGCGACTCATCCTATGAAAAAAGGAAGAAAAAAGCCCGGCTGTTTAGGAGGAGTCTCTCCTAACATGGCAGCTCCTTCCAGCCGAGGCCCGTGCTGAGGCAGCGGACACACACGCACAGTGACCGTCCGCAGTGAGAACACACGCAGCCCGCTGGGCTGTCTAACCAGCGCCCCTCGGAGGCCAGCTTGACCTCAGGGTCACCGTGGACAGATACCCAGGCGTGTCTAGGGGACCCCAGGGGGACCCTTGACTGCCAAAACCTGGAGCAATACTTCTCATCGCCTGACAGAGCAACAGCAATGCTTTACAGGTTCTCTACGTCTTCACACGGGCCCGCTTCTGGGATTGAAGCTGAAATAAAGTTCACTGTGGTTACTTACAGGGGCTACAAAAGCAGCAAAACAAAATGAAACAATAGAAGTAGAATCGGGAAGGACCACAGCGAGACACGTTACCCTGTCATTGTGGTCGGCAAACTGCGGCTCTCAAGCCACAGGCGGCTCTTTGGCCCGTTGAGGGTGGCTCTTCCACAAAATAACAGGGCCTGGGCGAGTCTATGTTGAAGAAGTGGCGTTAGAAGAAGTTTAAGTCTAAAAATGTGGCTCTCCAAAGAAATGTCAATTGTTGTCGTGTTGCTATTTGGCTCTGAGGACTAATGAGTTTGCCGACCACTGCCCTATCACAACGGTCCCGCTTGCTGCCAGACACGGAACAGCTGTTCAAGAGCAGCGCAAACCTGAGACACCAACCTCGCGGCCTTGCCAGGGTCAGCGAGGGCAGCAGGGGGTTTGGTGACCCCCGGGCGGCAGGTTAAATCTGCCTGTCCACTTTCCAGTTCGCTTCCCGGTCTTCCCCGCTGCTTCCCTGGGGTACATACAGCCAAACAGGCGGCGTTCCTCTGGCTGGAATCCATTCACGGCTGCCCGGGCAGGGAGGGCGAGGGGTCACAACACACAGATACCATCAGAGCCGTTTCCCGCCCTGCGCTGGCTCGCGGGCATCCTGGGACCTGCAGTGGATCTGCGTGGGCACAGGGGCATTGTGTGGTCCTCTGTGCATCCACTGGACGAGACACATACGGTGGCTGTCCACTGTTCTCTGCCTCAACCTCGCTGACATGGACAGCAGGCGGCCACTGCCCCCCGCGGCCCCTCCGAGAGTAGGCAGGGAGCGCCGCACGGAATCCTGGGATGAGCACCCATGGGTGCTGTGCATCCGTGCCCCAGGGCTGGGCAGTAAGCTCATCTGACAGTGAGACCCTGAGGATGTCTCTGGGGGGGGGGGGGGAGGTGACCTCTGAGAGTGCAGGCTGGCCCTGGCTGCCACTGGGGGGCGCTGGCTGTTCCTCCCCCATGAGGCTCATTTGTCCCCCGAAGCCTCACACGCCTGCTTTCCTGCAGAGCCTCCGGCGTGTCCGTGGATTGCTCGTGGCCGACAGAGGCTGCCTCTGTGAGCAGCTCCATCAACACCTTTCACCCTGAGTCTCCAATGGGCTGCTCTGGGCAGAGCCATGGGCACGCTGACAATGTCACTGCTGGAGAGAGGCACGCTGTGGGGGACCCCCTCAGGGGGGACACCTGTGGGTGGGTTTCCCTGGTGCCCCCACCGGCTCCTGTGCCTCTGGTCACTGCCAGCTGTGAGCAGGGCACCCCAGCCTGTGGGCCTGGCTCGCGGGCACCGCATGGGGGTGGTAGTGGTACCCTGGAAACAAATGCAGGGGCGTCACCAGGATGAGGGAGAACCCGTGACATGTTACAAAGGTACAAGCGGGACCGTTTACAGGACGGATGTGGCGTCCATGTCCCATGAAAACTTCCTGGCCAGCCAATTCCCGTAAGCAAAAGAGGCAAAGTCCTACTCCTTATCGATGCATCAGGAGAAGAAGCCTTTGAAGATGACAAGACTCCCCGAAAGCTTTACCAAGCTCTGCCCTTCAGCCATACACCGGTATGCGGAAACACCGTTAGGAAATCGCGGTAGGCCTGGGCATTCACAATTAACATGGCACCCTGTCACGGAGCTGAGGTGCACACACATCGGTTACCCTGGACCCTTGAACGATGCCTGGCTCAGGGGCACTGACCCCCACGCGGCCAGAAACCTCACTCCCTGGAAACCCGAAGCTGTCCCGCAGGCTCCACCGAGGCCTGGTGCCGGGACCCTCCGCAGATGCCAGTCTCTGTAGATGCCCCACCGCTTCGAACCGGGGGAGGTCCATGCATGCATTTGGGCATCTGCATCATGGACTCCCAACCGTGGGTCAAACACAGCTTGGGATTGTTTGGGGGGAAAAAATCCACAGAAAAATCCACCCACACAGTTCAAACCCATGTTGTTCAAGGGTCACTTGTACTTACTTTTGTTGTATTTTTTTTTTTTTTTAATTAAATGTTTCCATTTCGGTGACTCAAATGGTAAAAGCAAAACAGACCCTGAATACCCTGAAACTGTGCCAGGGTTACTAGCCAGTGCCGAGATCTGCAGCCTATAGAACCCAAAGGGGCACACGGACTTTTTCTTAACATAAACATGGCTTTTTGTTTGCAAGTACAATATGGAGCACTGAAAGACAACATCCAATGTACGCGTATTCGTAGGTAAGAAGTGAAATCACCTGTACGTGCGTCAGAAAAACAACGGGTGACAATTCCTTATACTTTGTACTCACATCAGCTGTTCTAAAAAGAACTAAACTGCCATCGCAACATGAGAACATTACCGAAAACCAATTCCTGTTTAATAAAGGCGAGTAAAAGTTCGTTAGAAGAAATCAGCTTTTCCTGTTTTTGCAATTAAAAAATTAAAAATGTTAATTAAGCGTATTGGTGTGACGTCGGTTAATAACACTCGGAAGGTTTCCAGTGCACATTTCCATAGTGTCAGCTGTGTGCTGCATGCGTGTTCACCCCCTCAGCCCAATCTCCTTGTCACCATATGACGACCCCCTTTTCCTTCCACTCCCCCCGCCCCTTCCCTCTGGAACCCCCACACTGCTGTGTGTGTCCACAGGGTGTGTATGTGTCTGCCGTGCTTACTGCTTTTCCGAGTAGAAACCCAGCCAACACCAGCTCTTCCCAGGGCTTGGGGTGTGCTGGCGGGGGGAATGGGGGGGGAGGCAAAGGGGCACAGCCTACCGATGGTGCAGTGCTCCCCGTTCCAGCCCTGGCTGCACTCGCACTTGCCGTCCTTGCAGGTCCCGTGCTCTGCGCAGCGGGGGTGGCAGGCTCTCTGGTTGCATGCGGGGCCCGTCCAGCCTTCCTCGCAGCGACACGTGCCCCCCATGCAGACGCCGTGCGAGCCGCAGTCCACGGAGCAGATCTCTGCGGACGGGAGAGAAGAGCAGGGAGTGAGTGAGACGGAGCGAAGGAGCTGAGTGAAGGTGAACAGTGTACTGAGTCAGTGTCGGTGTCCCCTACGACGCAGAGAAATGGTAGAAGTTCAGTTTTTGTCCATCGTTTGATTTTACACGTTGCTGTGATTGTGCCTAAAACACACATGACCATCTTACAAAACATTTCCTATACTATACATACGTGTATAGACGCATATGCAGGTGGGCTGCTAAGGAAACAGAACACATGATCCGTAGCCAGAGGAAAACACACACATATGTAACCGAGAGTACCGTTCGGCAGCCCGGAGCACCTGCACACGTGTGTCACGACATCACATGCACAGAAAGTCAGTGAGTTATGTCAGGGCCTGAGCAGGCGGCTGACAGCGGTTGGGTTTCACCCCTCCAGCAAGAATGGAAGGTGTTATCTCTAGTCCTCCAGTTTAACATTTTTAAACATTCAGGGACTTGAATTAAGAAGGGTCTATTCTGGTGTGCACGTTAGCTTGCGTCTGAGGCACAGGCATGCTGGCTGAGGGAGAGACGCTGCATTTTCTGTTCAGTAATGTGTGTTGTTGACAGAGACAAGCTGCCTCGCAGACCCACAGCGGAAAACCAGGTTAATCACGTAACTACTGACTGTGCCATTTCAGAAACACGGGCTTCCAGGGACTGGAACTGCTGAACGAAGCACAAGAGACCAAGGGACTTAAAGACTGTAATTGGCCCTGGCCGGTGCTGCCCAATGGTTAGAGTGTTGGCCCGAGCACGCATGGGTCTTGGATTTGTTTTTAAATAAAGGATGTGTACTTGGGCTGCAGGTTCACGCCCTGCACCTGTTTCGGTCGTATGGAGGAGGCAACAATCAATGTGCCTCTCACACTGATGTTTCTCTCCCTCTCTCCCTCCCTCCTTCCCTTCCACTCTTTCTGAAAAGCAATGGAAAGGTTATCCTCAGGTGAGGATTAACAAAAAATCTGACCACCCCCGCAAAAAAACAGACAAAATGAAAACAACAACAACAACAAAACAACTACTACTATAATCATAGGCTAGGTCTTTACAAAGAATTCAGGTACAGAATTAATTTTTTTTTCTTAAAAAGCTTTCCTTGACTAGGATCCGACTGAGGGAGAGACAGAGACAACTCGGAAGGATGTTTTATTTTCTACTGTCTACATAGAAAGCTAAAGAAAATTAGCTGTCACTCTTTTCTAAGACTGAAAAACAATCCTTTCGTTTTGACTTGTTTGCAATGGAAGTGCTGCACGCTAAAGCCCTGACATCATCTGCAACACACAGAAAACGGACCCCCGCACTCTTTTAGACTGAGGGATGGTGACTGGTTATGCAGTCACGGGCCCCGTGTGTCCCACTCACTGTCCCTACGGCATTCCTCAGACACCACCCTCCCTGCCTCACAGCGCTGCAGGACTCAGCACCCATGTTTCCTGCAAACGACAGCTGGGCTGCGAAGAGGAAGAGAGCGGGCGGTGTCCTTTTCGTGCTGTGTTTTCTCGCTGGTAGGAATTAAATTTTTAAAAAAATATATTTTATTGATTTTACACAGAGAGGAATTGAGAGGAACAGAGAGTTAGAAACGTCAATGAGAGAGAAACACCGACCAGCTGCCTCTTGCACACCCCCCACTGGGGATGTGCCTGCAACCAAGGTACATGCCCTTGACCGGAATCGAACCTGGGACCTTTCAGTCCTCAGACCGACTCTCTACCACTGAGCCAAACCGGTCCCGGCAGGAATTAAATTTTTGATGAAGAGATCTGAGATGGTCTGATTAACTTCAGAGGAACAGGACGTCGGCCGGGCGCCAGACGAGAGGGTTCCCACCCGAGGCCCCACCTTCCTTCCATCGAATCGATGCTTCGTTAGGCCCCGGTGTTTATCAGCGCTCAGCACACTAGCTCTGAGCGAGGTGCGCCGATCTCGGTAATGAACTTATTAATTAGAGTTGATTTAATTGAAGTGGAAGGGAAGGGCTAATTAATGGCAAACTGCTGATGGAGATAGAGGCGGGCTCCATTGCTTCCAGGCCCGTAAACTTTCCGAGGGAAGGAGGTCCTTTCTTCTCTGTTAGCGGCTTAACCAGGTGTTTCTTTGGGGGCAAATTCTGGCTGAATGGAGGTGCCTGAAGGTCATTTCCGCAGCGGCAGAGGGGGCAGCTGGGAAATGCTTTTCGTTAGACATTCAGGATTATTCCGCTAGTACTTGGCACAAAGGAGAATTAGCAGCATTTTGTAAGCTTTCCGTGAGAACTGTGCAACACGTAGCTACGTTGGAGGCGCATGATCCCAGATATTTTCCCAGGATGTGTGTATGCACAGGTGAGACCCTCGCTAATAATTCTGAGTTTTCTGCTTTTTTTTTTGCCACTAACAGAAAAGTTCATTCATTGTTGTTCTCTTTCCTCCAAAGAACAGGACTATCTCATCTCTCTACGTTAAGTTTCTGCTTTGCAATGACGATACAGAGACGAATAGGATGAAGTCGTTTTTGCATAGCGACAACATCAGATTTTCCAATAGCAACGATAATCATATCAGCATAACAATCAGTCTAAATATGTGAAATAATGACATGCGATTGTGGCAGCCAGTTTAATATTTTGATGAACACATCTCTTTTTGCTACGCATAGCCAATATCATTTTATGAAGAAGACTGAACTGCCTTTTGAGTTGTTTACTAGAATTTACAAACAGCCCTTTATCAAATAATTCAGGTGGTTAAATAACTTCAGATGAAATTTAAAAAAAAAGGCTATTATGTTATTTCTTTCCTCCTGTGTCATTGTGGGAAACAAATTAGAAGGATGATATTTCAAACATGTATTATTTAAAACCAGGATTATTATGCCTGTTTTGGGGATTGAGGCATAAAGGAACCAAACCAATAGTTTTACTGTACAAGTGATTTTATCTATAAACTTTAAGTGGATATGTTGGTGGGGTGCATTTTTGTTTTGTTTTGTTTTGTTTTGTTTAAAAGCTGGAAATGTAAATAAAAACTCAACAGAAATAACTAAATGCCTGTTTTGACTGCTGTAATTATAAAGCATATTTTGAAGAACAGAGGGCAGAACAAGTTGGAGTGTTATTTAAAATAGTGCCATGCAGCCCAGCCAGTGTGGCTCAGTGGTTGAGTGTCAACCTATGAACCAGGAGGTCATGGTTAGATTCCGAGGATTGTGGGCTTGAACCCAGTGTGGGGCATGCAGAAAGCAGCTAATCAACGATTTTCATCATTGATGTTTCTAGCTCTCCCTCCCTCTCCCTTCCTCTCTGAAATCAATAAAAATATTAAAAAACAGAATAAAATATAATATAATAGCGCCATGCCCATTTGATAATGCTGGTTGGTGATGATTCCAGAAAACTTCAGTGAGACCTCCCAGCCCTCTCCCATCCAGCCCCCAGGCCCAGGGTCTGCCCTTCTCGCCCTGGGTGTTACTTGCTCTGTCAGTCAGGCACTTTCCAGCCCAAGTTTCTCTCTTTTTCCAGCTTCTCCTCCTCCTCCACCTCCTCCTCCACCTCCACCTCCACCTCCACCTCCACCTCCACCTCCACCTCCACCTCCACCTCCACCTCCACTTCCACCTCCACCTCCACCTCCACCTCCACTTCCACCTCCATCACCACCTCCACCTCCACCTCCACCTCCACCTCCACCTCCACCTCCACCTCCACCTCCACTTCACCTCCACCTCCACTTCCACCTCCATCTCCACTGTTCCTTTCCCTCCTGCTCCATCTTCCTCTTCTTTCCTTGTACTATTTACTTGTGCTCAGAGGGTCTGAGCATCCAAGCAGAATCCATCATCTGCTGTCTCTCTCCTCTCCCCCCATCGCTGCTGTGCCATCCTGCTGACCCCGAGCCTCGGCCCTTCCCAGCGTCCTCGCTTCATTAGAGACAGTCACGTGAGCACCCACCTCCTTGCTTCAGACTCTCAGCTCTTCTCACCCAGGTCAACCCTCTGCGTTTGAGCACGTCCCGCCTCTTTCCCTTCCCCATGCCCCTCAGATGTGTCCTGCTCGGTGCTGCTGCTCCCGTCACCTCCCCTGGGAGGAGGTCTCTGCCACGTCTCCGGTGCAGCCTCCCGTCCAGACGCTGACATCTATGAGCCTCTCTACCAGGGGCCTAACACACTGTTCTCCTCATATCGGTGGGTGCACACCTGGACTGGGAGCCAGTTCCCCGTGACCTACACCGTCATCTCTAAACTGCATCCCCGTAGCGGGGCCCAGCCCGACTCCTGCCTCCACACACGCCGCCCTCGCTGTCCACACTCTCACGGTTGGATCTCGGCTAAGGTAGCTGTGCTGGCAGCTACATTTATTTTTATGTTTTTTAAATATATATTTTTTTGATTTTTTTTTTACAGAGAGGAAGGAGAGGGATAGAGAGTTAGAAACATTGATGAGAGAGAAACATTGAGCAGCTGCCTCTTGCACCTCCCCCACCAGGGATGTGCCCGCAGCCAAGGTACATGCCCCTGATCGGAATCAAATCTGGGACCTTTCAGTCCGCAGAGGGACGCTCTATCCACTGAGCCAAACCGGTTTAGGCTGGCAGCTACATTTAGAATTCATTACGAGCTCAGCACTGTACCTAAGTTCTTCACATGCATAATTCAAGGAATTCCCACAGCATCGCCGTGAAGACTGTCTTATGAGGGAGCCCATTCTACAGGCCCGTAAACTGATGCCTACAGTCACTGCCTGAGGTTACACAGCCAAGCAGGAGGGACTGGACGGAACCCCAGCCCTGGTGTCAGAGGCCAGGCTCCTATGAACTTTGTAACATTTTTCCTGAGTCAAAAAATACACCTCCCCACCAGGACAGCCTCCTTTCAAATTGCGGGACTCATGAGAGGCCATGAAATTAAGCCATGGGCTGCAATCAGAGTTTAAAAAGCAGAACAGACTTGTAAGAAAGTATCCGTGTCTGCACCCCATTGGAAGGTTTTCCTCCAGTGATGTGAGCACATGCACACATATGTACACCAGGTCACAGTAAACATGTAGTTAAGACGGTAGGCCATTTAAGTCAAACGTGACAGTCCCCCTGCTGGAGGCCAGGACTGACTTATTGCCCCTCTATCCCTGAAGGCCAGCACCGTGCGGGCACACAGCGGGCGCTCGCCAAGAACCGACGGATCAGATGGAATGCCTGCCTGCCATTTCCATTATAACCATGTCACAGGTAGACCTCATTGTAGTGCGCTTCACAGACGCTGCATTTTTAAATATATCTATATCTATATCTATATCTATATCTATATCTATATCTATATCTATATCTATATCTATATATATATATATTTATTGATTTCAAAGAGGAAGGAAGAGGGGGAGAGAGAGAAACATCATCGATGAGAAAGAATCATTGATTGGCTGCCTCTTGTACGTCCCCCACTGGGGATCAAGCCCGCAACCCAAGTACGTGCTCTTGACCGGAATCGAACCTGGGACCTTTCAGTCTGCAGGCCAAAGCTCTATCCACTGAGCCAAACCCACTAGGGCAGATGTTGCATTTTTTACACACTGAAGGCAAGATCTTCCACCACCAAAGGTTATATATGTTTTATTGTGATATTCACATTACTGCAGCGGCCTGGAACTGAACCCGCAATATCTCTGAGATATGCCTGCATTATGGTTAAACACTCAGTGTTGCACCATTATATACGTCATAATACCGACAGGTGTATATCCTTTACTGTGACCACGTCTAGCCTTAGGTTGTCAAATAGTTTTCAAGGGCGGCTTCTTTGTTATGAGATCATGTGCTCAGATTCCCACCTGTACACAGGCCTTGAGAGTGCTTTCCGGAAGTGAAAGGTTATTCTTTACAATGCTGCTAAAGAAGAAAGTTTAATGCCAAACTACTAAGCCCATTTCTTTCCTTTTTATAAGACAACAAATTTCATTACATTTAATATTTATCTCTAGAAACAATCACTTTAATAAAAATCCACATTAAATTTAATAAGTGTGTTTTAAAAATTTACAATATCTCAGCCCAGCATTGGCCTATGATCCAGGAGGTCATGTTTGATTCCTGGTCAGGGCACAGGCCTGGGTTGCGGGCTCCATCCCCAGTAGGGGGTGTGCAGGAGGCAGCTGATCAACGATTCTTTCTCATCATTGATATATCTGTCTCTTTCTCTCTCCCTTTCCCCTGAAGCTGATAAAAATATAGTTTAGAAAATTCACAGTACCTTCATCCTTAGCTAAACAACTGCAGCCCGCCGTGGCGCCGCCCGCGGACTCACCGTTCGAGCAGTCCGGGCCGGTCCAGCTGGGGTCACAGGTGCAGGAGCCGCTGTCCTGGAGGTACGTGCCGTGCCCAGAGCACTGGTCCGGGCACATGGTCTTCAGGATCTCACAGTTGCTGCCCCCCCAGCCTGGGTGGCAGTGGCACTCCCCGTGGATGCACACGCCGTGGTTCGAACAGCCGGGGTCCAGGCAGTCAGCTGGTGTGGAGAGCAGAGGAACACCTGGTGATCCGTCTCGAAGGCATCACGCACAGGACGTGCAACACAAAGAACAAAACCCCAACCTAATTTCTATGAACGTTTTGGGTCCTCTGACACACACCTGCCATTGTCAAGAACTCGTTGCTGAAAATGCAAAGCATCATGCAAGCAAGCACGGAGAACTGTGCCTCTCAGGGAACCGAGCCTCTTGCGAGGATCTGTGACTTTCATGAACACACACACACACACACACGCACACACACATACACACTCACACACACACTCACACACACACACTCACTCACATACACACACTCACACACATACACACACTCACACACATACACACACATGCACACACACACTCATACACACACACTCACACACACATACACACACTCACATACACTCACACACATGCACACACACTCACACACATTCACACACACATACACACACTCACACACATACACACTCACACATACACACACTCACACACATACACACACTCTCACACACACGCACATGCACACACACACATACACACACTCACATACACTCACACACACATGCACACGCACACTCACACACATTCACACACACACATACACACATACACACTCACTCACACACACATTCACACACACACACACACACACACACACGCACACACACACTCACTCTGGGACTTGGGGCCACCGCTCTCTGTCCTGCCTCATCAGGGAGTCCCACGCATTGGCTTCTCGGTAACAACATGGCGCTGGCTGACCTGACCCACGGCCACTGAGTGCTGGCCGCGGGCCGGCCCCTCGGACTCTGTGAGCAACAAATGTGTCGCATACTCTCTCTCTCTCTCTTAATCCACTGTAATGTGCTTTAGATGGCGGAATTTAATTTAGCCATTGGACTCAATAACACTTTACACTTATGGGGTCAATGGCCTGAGCATTTAATTCCGGGGACTTAACTGTATTTCGTTGTGCGGGCGTGGATCTATGAAATCGATGTGATGGAAGACCAGAAAGGGAGTCTCTCTGCTTTCTGAAAACACACTCTGACCGCACCGCACAGGCGCGGAAAAGCCGCGGCGGCGGCTGCTGTCCCCTCGTCACTCGGTCCGGCGGTCGCTTTGTTCGCTAGTCACCGGGTCTCTCAGGCTGCCGCCCGAGGGGCACGCGGGCACGTATGTGCACATCGGTGGAAGCACCCGGAGAACAGGCCCCTCTTGTTTCCAGACACAATGTCTGCTCGCTGCCGCAGAGTGACACGCAGGAGAGTCACGCACACGCCTGGGAAAGGGCGAGGGGCCCGTGGCATCTGTCCTTCCTATGAGCTCACACGCCAGTACACACGGTGCACCCCTGAGTGCGCACATCGGACGGACGCTCACGAGGAGGCAGTGAGAGGACCCGCGGGCCACAGCGGCGGCCACGCGCCCAATCTGTTTCTTTTTCTTTTTAAAAAAAATATATTTTATTGATTCTTCACAGAGAGGAAGGGAGAGGGAGAGAGAGCTAGAAACATCGGTGAGAGAGAAACATCGGCCAGCTGCCTCCTGCACACCTCCTACTGGGGATGTGCCCGCAACCAAGGTGCATGCCCTTGACCGGTATCGAACCTGGGACCTTTCAGTCGGCAGGCCGACGCGCTATCCACTGGGCCACTCCGGTTTCGGCCCGATCTGTTTCTTTTCCCGGGGGGGGGGGGGGACCACGGGCGCCTGCACGCACGGCCGTGCCTACCTTCCTCGCAGTTCTCGCCCTTGTAGCCCGAGTTGCAGGCGCAGGAGCCCATGATGCAGACGCCGCGGCCGCTGCACTGCGGGTCGATGCACTGCGTGGTGGGCACGTCGCACTCGGTGCCCTTCCAGCCGCTGAAGCACAGGCAGCGGCCCTTGGAGTACTGCCCGTTGCCACTGCACAGCACGGGGCAGGCTGCTGGGGGAGGACAGGGCGCGGGTCAACCGTGCCCCTGCCTGCCAGGGGGCGTGGGGCACAGGGACAGGGGTGCCAGGCCTGCCCCCTCCTCCCCGCCGGGGGCCCCTGGGTCGCCCCGTTGCCATGGCGCAGGGGCACAGGCTTACGGGAGAACAATGGGGCTCACATACCTCTGGAGCAATCCGGACCCAGAAATCCCGGGAAACAATGGCAAGTGCCCGACACGCACTCTCCGTTCCCATGGCAGTTCCGGGGGCATTCCACCACGGACTCTGGGGAGGAGAGAGGGCGGGGCGCTGACTGGGCCGCCTGCCCCTGGCCCGAGGTGAGCAGTGGCTCCCCGGGAACTTCAGCTGCACGGGACCAAGACAGGCCGCAGGAGCCAGAGTTTTTATTTATTGAATCTACAAAAAATATACTTATATCGATTTCAGAGAGGAAGGGAGAGAGAAATATCCATCAGGAGAGAGAATCGTTAATCGGCTGCCCCCAGCACGACCCCCACGGGGATCAAGCCCACAATCTGAGCGTGCGCTCCAACCGGGAATCGAATGGTGGAGTCCTGGTTCACAGGCTGATGCTTAACCACTGAGCCACACCGGCTGGGCCGATCCTCGAGTTTTTAACCAGCGAGGAAGGGGCTTCCACTCACTGGCAGAGTTCTCAGGGGCCAACCTGATGCCAGGCCTCCTCCAGAGGCGTCCAAACCACCCTTCCTCCCGGTGCCACGGGGTCTGTCACACACTCAGACATGCACCGTTATAAACGGCTCCTCACATCTCTCCACCGGCTCCCGCGGCCCAGGAACCACTCCCTGTCGCCGAAGCCAACGGCGTTTCCCCCCAGCGCGGGGCCGGGGCCTTACCGATGACGATGGTGTTGAAGGACACCTGCTCCACGTTCTTCCCGTCGTTGTAGAAGGCCAGATGCCAGATGCCCGAGTCCAGGTACTGGATGAAGCCGGCCTCGTGGAGGCTCACGGACCGCGCCCGCCGCCCGGCTCGCTCTGACTCCAGAAGGTTCCGCTCTCTCGCGATCAGCCTGCTGCCGTCCAGGAGCTCCACAAAGTCGTACTGAGGACGGGACAAGCAGAGCGGTCCAGCGGTCAGAAACACTGCCATCGGGCCGCTCCTCTCCGCTGCTAACTCTTCTCCTGTGCCCGAATGAGTAGGGCCGTGGTCGGCAAACCGCGGCTCACAAGCCACAGGCGGCTCTTTGGCCCCTTGAGTGTGGCTCTCCCACAAAATACCACGGCCTGGGCGAGTCTATTTTGAAGAAGTGGCATTCAAAGAAGTTTAAGTTTAAAAAGATGTGGCTCTCCAAAGAAATGTCAATTGTCCTGTTGATATTTGGCTCTGTTGAGTGGTGAGTTTGCCGACCACTGGAGTAGGGTATTAGGACAGAAGTTCTGGGGGGCAGGTGTCTGTGCAGGGCTCTGCAGAGACAGGAAAACTACCTACTGTGCACACTCATTGCCTTTACACTGCACACTTTACAAAATATGTTTTTATTGGTTTTTAGAGAGAGAGGAAGGAAGAGGGATACAGGGATATAAACATCCACAAGAGAGAAGCCTTGATCAACTGCCTCCTGTACTCCTCCATTTATCCTGATCAACTGCCTCCTATATGTCTCCTATCAAGCCAAAAGCCTGGCATGTGCCCCAGCTGGAAATTGAACCAAAGAACCTCTTGGTTGATGGGTTGACACTCAACAACTGAGTCACACTGCCAGGTGCATGTCTTCCTGATGGGGCACCATGGCGCCCACATTTATGTAATTCATCTGGCTGATACACACCTGGACACGTGTGGGCAGTTTGGGGATAGGAACACAAACCTATTACATGCCAAACCCAATGGCCTCCTTTCCCGGAGACCACTAGACAACCTCAGGGTGTCCTAGTTCACAATCACGTAGTAGCAACCACTCTGGAATGTTCCTCTGAGCCAGGAGTATTTGTAACCCAATATCTGTTTTAGCAAGATCTGTCATGAACACTGGGTAGCTAGGATTTAACTGGAGAACTTAAAGATAATGGGAAATATGGGATGTGAGTAACCCGAGACAACGCAGTGAATTTGGAAGGCATCCTTAGGACTTTCTCACTTGGTTTTATTAAACTTGCTAGATAAGTTTATTTAAAGCGGAGGGATTTTCTTAAAAGTAGAAGGATTGGGTTTCTAGAACCTCCTACCCAGTTTCATTTTATTCCTGAGGCACGTGCTTATGTGTGAGTATACTCCAGCACTATATACACCAGTCATTAATGCTGCAGCACTGTGCCCGGGAACTATTACAATTCCACTTTCAGATCTCCTCCTTAAATGGAATTTCATCAGTGTTCTATTCTGAAAAAATGGTTATTGCATGAATCCCTTAACGCAATCAAACAGGAATAAAATCCGCTGCTGGAATTCTGAGAGTCACAGTTAAACACTGTGCTGATCACAGACCCTCCGTCACCAATGAACAGAATTTAGAATACCCAATCCAGTTTCTGACTTACTAAAGAGTTCACTTTAATACAAAAGTATCTTTCTGTGTGGTAGGACTGTACAGTTTAACTGTGAGAAATATAAAAAAGTCATAACTAAATTGACATTCAAAAATTTTTTTTGGTATTTATTATCTTAGCAAAGATGAACATAATGACTAGTGTGGCTATTTGACCTGCAAAAAATTCACCAGCATTGTATTTGAAAAGTATCAGAGGAAAATTAATTCCGCCCTTTCCAAAGGTGCTTTTACCTCAACGAAGCCCTTCATTTCTCCTCAGGTTGAAATGTTTGATTAGCCTAGCTGCACAGTGGTCGGCAAACTCATTAGTCAACCAGGCCAAATATCAACAGTACAACGATTGAGATTTCTTTTGAGAGCCACATTTTTTACACTTAAACTTCTTCTAATGCCACTTCTTCAACATAGACTCGTCCAGGCCATGGTATTTTGTGGAAGAGCCACACTCAAGGGGCCAAAGAGCCGCATGTGGCTCGCGAGCCGCAGTTTGCCAACCACGGGCCTAGCAGAAACAGCTTTCTCATCCTGGCCCCACGGCATAGAAACATCATGTCCGCTGATATGAAACACAGTCAATGAGAAACGAAAGGGAGAAGATGCTTGGTTTTAACTGGTCTCTCAAACCCTTCCTCCTAATGATCCCCTTTATCAGGGAAAATACCACTTGCATCACACTTCCAACAGCAGGATGAGGCTGGAGTGCCAGGTGTGAGGGTGGTGGTGGTAGGAGTGGCTCACAGGTGTTCAGTATCTGGTCAGTTCCAGGCCCTTCTGTCGGCAGTTCATGCATTTCAGGGGGTCACTCAACTACCCACAGACAGATTCCCCACTCAGTGCTGAAACCATCGCCATGGAAAGTAAATACACTGTACGGAGCAGAAATATTTAAAAACGTTTGTCCTGAGGCCGCAAAGCAATCACGTAAGGGCCAACTCGAGAGACGGAGGTTTGCGCTGTGGACCTGTCCATGACATGGAGCCGAGGATGCTTTGTGCACTGAGCCTTAATTTATTAAGATCTTAGGCTGCTTTTAGGACAAGACTCAGTGCCACCATGTTAGGGAGTGGCTATGAAGATGACGCTTACAGCTGACAAGTCTCTTGGTGGTTAACGTCTGAACAGACTGTCCATAGGCTTAACTCAATTAGTTATTCTAACCAAGAGAACTCAGAATCTACGAATACTTGACTGTGTTCCCCAATCAGCCGTGTGGGGTGGCGGCATAGTCTCCCTGCAAATCTCGGGAGCAGAGAGGAGGAAGCGGTTTTACCCATCACCTGATCCAATCCCTCCATTTCACAGGGAGACCCCACGCTGCAGAGATGTTAAATGATGTGTTCAAGGTCACAAGGTCACAAAGTGGGTGGAAGCGTGTGCCTGGAGCCCAGGTTTCCAGCCCCCATGCTAAACAGCCTTCCCGCGTGTGCACCTAAAGGGGACCGGACACTGCAAGGGCAGGGCGTTACACTGCCTCCCTGGGCATCCACTGCCAGGAGCATGGACTGGGCCTAAGGGAGAAGGACTGGATTCCTTAGCAACAATCAAACGGACAGTGTCATAAAGGATCGGAGACTTTCTCACTCCAGCAGCTCTCCTGAACGGCCACTTCTCATTGTTTCAGGCCGATTGGTCCCATGCTCCCCAGACACAGGGAAATGTTCAATGTGGGCTGCCCTACAGCATATGTCATGATTAAACGCCGAAGTCCGAAATAGATGTTGACTCTGCTAATTTCGAATAAACCAGAGAAAGGAGTTCTCCTAACTGCGGGGCTTAAGAAGACGTGTAACCCACTGAAACCCACACATGTGGCAGCAGAGAAAGCAGACATCATGCATGCTGTGTTCAAATGCCAGGAGAACGATGGGAAAACCTGAAACTGCGCCTTTTATTCTCTCGTCTTACAGGTACGTGTAACTTGCAAAGAGCCCACCCTAAATCTCTAAATAAACCTTTGAAGTGCATGACATGTAGAAAATTATTTTTTGAAATTGTTTCTGGAATTGATAGGTTACATGCTCACTGTTGTGTTCTCGATGAACTTACAGGTGTGTGGTTCCAATGACTAACATGTATTTTTTTTCTATCTCACCAGAATCTATAATAATAAAAGTGTTATATGCTAATTAGAACATCTAGCCGAACAGCAGAATGACCGCCAGGACAACCTTCCGGCTGCGAAGGTTGAGGCAGCCACCGAGGCTGTGAAGGCTGAGCTCCTTGCACAGATTTTGTGCTCCGGGCCTCTAGGGTTGCTATGCCTCCCATCTATCTGTTACACATGAAGTTACAGAGGCCCCTTCCATCGGAGAAAGTCTGGTTATTACTTCCTCGTTAGTGTCGCCTGGAAGGGGAGTCAAATGTAGTTTAAAATTTTAAATTGAATACTAATATGCAATCGGAAGTATTTTATGTCTGAGGATTAAAGACTTTTACTTTAATAACCTAGATTTGGAAAATGTTAAATCAGAAAAATGAATACACCAAAGCACGATATTCAAAAATTTTACAACTATGTAATTTATGTATGTCCATGACATTTCCCCTGAGCCACATGACATTAGAGAGAGCATGTTCAAATATTGTTGGTCACCTTTTAAAAAATATGTAATTTTTAATAGTATGTGATCAACTTTTCTTTATAATTTTCTATTTTAAATTTCTGTTATAGAAAAAGCCTTTCTCACAAAGTGATATAATATAGAGTATATGAAAACCTTCCAGTCTTCATTTTATAAATCCAATTAAACTCAGCATGAAATTTCATGGGTGAAAAAACTGATTATCAAATATAACTTTAAGTTCATCCAACTGTCAATTTTAATTAACCATCTATTATATTTTGGGAATTCCTGTATTTACTAACGTAACAGTTGATCTTGGGAAAAGTCTGAGCTCCTATTTATGGTAATTTAAATAATTTTTCTTAGACATCATGGGACTTCCTTTATTTATTTTTTAAAAATATATTTTTATCGATTAAAATAAAAATCAATCTATTTACAGAGAGGAAGAGAGAGGGATAGAGAGTTAGAAACATCGATGAGAGAGAAACATTGATCAGCTGCCTCCTGCATACTCCCTACTGGGGATGTGCCCACAACCAAGCTACATGCCCTTGACTGGAATCGAACCTGGGACTCGTGAGTCTGCAGGCTGACGCTCTATCCACTGAGCCAAACCGGTTAGGGCCATGGGACCTCTTTTAAATCATCACTTCCCTCTTATACACCACTGATGCTGTTGTAATCACTGGGTTATTATTTAACAGCCAAGGAGGAGAAGAAGACCAGTCAGACACTTGCCCAGTAAGGTCTGAGTGACCCTTGTCTGTCTATCACACCTGGAAACAGGTAACTGGCCAGGATGGGCGTGGCCAACGCAAACTCTGGAACCTTCAATATCAGAACTTCCAAACTCTCTGTCTGCTCCCTCTTGGGACGCCTGTGGCGGGGGATGCTCTCCCTGAGCCGCGTGGCACATGGCCCCGTGGGGCTCCAGCCCTGACCAGTGGCTTTCATCGGCCGGATGCTGACTCGCACCGGCTGCTACAGGCAACGGATGCTCTGGCCCTGGCCTTATGCCTGGCTCTGTCGGAACCCCAGCTGCTCCCTTTCTCGCCTGGCTTAAGGGACAGGGACTTGGGAACCTGAGAAATGCAGCTCCACGCCCATACAATCCTCCACATCCCACCCTCCCGTGGGGGCTTCTGAAAATGCTCGATTCAGCGGCACCCCAAGAACCTCCACCCAACCCCCCAAATGACAGGGGAGTTTCATTCCGGACCCAGTATTAGATGGTGACGAAGCCTGCGGAACTACTGACAGCGCCAAGCTGTGACCGTGACTGTGAAGGGGTCTTCCTGCAAACAGACAGACTGCAAGGTTCTTTGAGTCTATAATATACGAATGTTTGAAGGGTTTTGAGTATCACACTCAAACACGTGATCATCCTTGGTCATCTATGAAGTACTTTTGCCTCTTTATTTTGTCATTCATCATGGGTTGATGAGAAATTATGGCTTGGTTGATGAAATTCATATTATGGTATTTATGTTTATGTCCCAATAATTTCTTTACTAAGAGCAAATCTGGCATAAAGTAAAAAAAAAAAAGTAATATATTTTCAATAGAATCAATACATGTTTGAGATAAAAATGTAATGCATCTATTACATGAAAGGAATAAGATCACCCCAAATGACCACAGAATCTTTGTAAAACACTTGAACAATCCCTGGTGTTTTATTAGGTGCTGAACTGATGTTCAATATTCATTAAGTTGCTCACAGATTTTGGTACATTTTAATCAATCAATAACGGTTAAAGCAAGCCAGGAAGAAAATGGTATTCTTCCTACTAATTCAAAAACCCCAAGACATTTGTAACCCTCCACCTGAAATTCTTCTCACCGTAAAGGATCAATACAAAAGTGGTCAAACAGTTAAGCAGCCCAAGTTGAGAAGCAGAATAACGTTAAAAACGCACACGGGCAGCTTCATCTCATTGACGGCAAAGCCTACGTTTACCTGAGTATGGGAAGGCGGCAAGCCTTTCCGGCCGTACACGCCGATCAGTGCGTCCTTCTGAAGGGAGATATTGAATTTCAGAAACTGCGGCTGGTCGATAAAGAGCTGTGATCGCCAGAAGACTCCGGGAGGCACCTCTTGCACGGCTCTCCGGCCGATATCAAGTTCTCCGGAGTCTATGGTGTTATTTTCCTGTGTGAATCCGCCCAATTTTCCTGAGTGGAAGAGATCCAGGGAAGGACAAAACATGAAAAAGGAAACAGAACACAGACTGCCTTCCAGAAAGTTCTCTGTGCCAGACGCTCTGACAGGTCATCGTCTTCGCATAATGAAATACTCACCTATATTGTTCACTTAAAAAACCTTTTGGTTAGATGCTGTGAGCTCAACTAACACATTCTCGAAGATAACTTAAGTCAAAATCCTTTGCCTTCCCCTAAGGTACGCCTATTATGGAAACTGTTTCCACACCCACAGTGCTTCCTGATCACTTCAAACATAATTATCCTGCAAATGATATGTCTTGTTATTTCTTGGGAGAGATTAAGTCTGGTAGTGATCAGTCATTCCAAACATACTGAAGTGTAAATTAAGGCGGAATGGATTATGGAGATTTTCAAATCAATCCTTAAGCAAACAACAGAACCAATCAATGGCACTGATTCAAGTAGTTCCCGCTAAACTGTTTATTAGGCTGAGTGAGAAATCAGAGCTGGGAGGGAACAGACAAGGGGGTGTGTGTGGGAAGACCCTGGGGAAGGGAAGGAGGCGCAGGATTAAATTCTTACAGAGCTCCAGACATAGGCTGCAACAACTTTTCCTCTCTCTTTTGACCCTCACCTCACATTCACGTCCAGCCTTAGCAGTGCGCTGGATTATCCCTCCCAGTGACCTTCAACCTGCAGGAACAAAGACTCCGCTGTGGGCATCCCCCCTCCTCTGCAAGCCTGGGGTTTTCCGAGACAGGTCTGAGCTCTCTCGGTAGGGTGTCCCCTCCCTGCTCCTTGCTGAGGTTCTTTCTCAGCTGTCCTCTGGGGATTGGTGAGAGAGGCAGGTTTTGTAATTTTCCTTAAATGGAGGTAAAATCACACTGCCTCTTGTTCAGAAAGGGGCTGTGAAGGCTAAGGAACAGAAGGAAACTGGGCAAGTGATCCTCTGTTGATTCAGTCCTTTCACTTTTTATTTTTAAAAATATGTTTTTATTGATTTTTTTAGAGAGAGGAAGGGAGGAGGATAGAGAGATGGAAATATCAGTGAGAGGAACATCATTGATTGGCTGCTTCCTGCATGCCCCCGACTGGGAACCGAGTTCTCAGTGCCCCCCCGCCACTGGGGACTGAGCCTGCAACCAGGGCATGTGCCCTGACCAGGAATCAAACCCATGACCTTTAGGTTCCTGAATCAATGCTCACCCACTGAGCCGCACCAGCCAGGCAATTCAGTCTTTATATGGTCACAGAATCGACTTACTACTAAGTTTATCTTTTAAAAACATTAATCTGATGGTAACTTCAGACATTACATCATATTACTCAATACCTGTTACATAAGGGCCTCCAGAGAAATGGTTCATTCAGCACTTAGAGGCCTTAGTGTCAAATCGCAGAGTTCTGAGCGATCTTAGTCTAAGGACAATCTAAAGCGGCATATGACTGAGGGTCAGAGGAGGGGACAGCTCTGTGGGCTGAGGGATGGCACAGATGAGTTAAGCTCTAGGTCAACCCTGAAGGTCACGTAGGACATGGTTTCTGAGCTGCGGTGAGCATCCTGGCTGGTCACATGGCACAGGCCAGGCTGCTCCTGAGAGAGATCCGGGTGGCTCCCGCAGTCAGGAAAACTGGCTTTGGAGGCAGACGAACCTGGTGTGAGTCCTTGCTCTCACTAACCAGCTGTGTGACCGGACGGAAGACGCTAAACCTCGTTTGTAAAACCGGGACAGCGATGCCATCGCCGGGCCACTGTGAGGATTATATTACACCGAGCGCTGGGCCTGAGGTAGGTTCTGAGTGAGTGGAAGTCACGGGAGGAATGACAAGTAAGGCTGGGCAGGAAGAGGGCAGCAGCGTGGAAGGGCCTGGAATGCCAGGTTAAAGAACTGGGTCTTTACATTTCATGCTAGGGATGTTTTTGTATCTTGTATTTTCATCTCTATCCATAATATTGTTTTACCCTTTTCCCTGAAGGTGCATGTATTTACTAGCATCATACTACTACTAGAGGCCTGGGGCACAAATTCATGCACTGGTGGGGTCCAGCCAGCCCGCCCTGATTGGAACTGATCGGGGTTGGGCCAGCGGGGGAGAGGGGCCCTCAGAGGTCAGCTGGCTGGCTCCACCACCAATCTGGGTTGAGGGGCTGATCTGGGCTGTACTGCATGTCAAAGCAACTGTAGTTCTGGTTGCTTGGCTTTTATATATCTAGATGCACATAATGTATGGGATGTTTTCAAAAGAGATACTTCAAGTAGAATTAACATGAGCACATTGTATTTCAATGCCGCCAAGGCACTTGCTTGTTCCTGGGTTGTGTGTATGCGTGAGTATGCATGTGTGTGTGTGTATAATCAGGAGAAACAGAATTCAAGATTACTAAGGAACATGGCTTGTGATCACCCACGAACATGGTGACCTCCAGTTTATGACCATTAGGATCCAAGGTGATTCACATCATATTCACGGACAGATGCGTGTGATGTTAGAGGGAGAGGCTATTGCTAGGAAACGCTGGGATTGCTTTCTGCCTGGACTACTGCATCCTGTACCAGCAGCTGCGAAGGAGAGCTGGAGGGAAAGGAGACTCATTAAAGGTGTGACCAGGCTAACGGAGAAACAAAGTCACTGCTCCAAGGACATTGCAGGCAGCAGCGGGGGAGGCTGGGAGTGGAGAGCCCGTTAGGATGCAACTGCTGATGACCAGGTAGAGGCAGGGCGAAGAGGGTGGCCAGGAAAGTTTAATAAAAAACATTGTTTACACCATCGATTCCTCCCTTCTTCCCCTCGAAGTCCATAATCCTGGCATTGAACAGCTCCTTAGCTCTCAGGGTCTGTTTACTTTGAACTAAATTTGTAATATAAAATGCTCTAGGGAACAGGAGTAAAAATTGGGCTATAGGAATAATCATTTTTCACGTATCAGCTCAAAGGTTATACATTATGCAGCACTCACTAAAATTTTAAATACCTCTCTTACAATAGTTATACATATTCATGCTAGCTCAATCAGGACATATAATTAAATAAAAAGATAAAGAATATAATTCTACCATGCAGACCTGAGAGGGCTGTTTCCCATCTAACCAGAGAGATTCCTTTGTTCATAGAAAATATGAAATTTCAGAGCCCAGTCCCTGCTTTTCTCTTTACATGCTTCTGCATAGGCACCTAACCTTGTCATGAAACAACTTCTACAGAAATGGTGGAGGATGGGGAAGAGAAGTCAAAATAACCTGTACCCAGAACCTACAACATGCCTGATGGTTTCGCCTCTATGATCTGTTTGAAAGGACAAAAAATGCTATGAGCTTGATGGTATTTTGAGCTGAGCAAACTAAGACTCAGAGAAATAAATTATGATGCCAGAGTGCGGGGTAAAGTCAAGAGTCAGGCCAAGGTCTGCATGATGCCAGAACTGTGTGTTCTATCCTATAAAATAAAAGGCTAATATGCAAATCAACCAAACAATGAAATGACCGGTCGCTATGGTGCACACTGACCACCAGGGGGTAGACACTCAATGCAGGAGCTGCATCCTAGTGGTTAGTGCTCTCCCACAGGGGGAGCACTGCTCAGCCAGAAGCCCTGAGCTGGGCTCCTGGCTGGTGAGTACAGCAGCAGTGGTGGGAGCCTCTCTGCCTCCCCTGTCTGACTGCCAGCATAGGCCCATTCCCTGTGAGCCTAAGCTGTCAGTCAGACATCCCCAGAGGGCTCCCGGACTGAGGGAGGCACAGGCCAGGCTGAGGGTCCCCCTGCCCAGTGCACAAATTTCATGCTCTGGGCCTCTGAATAGTCATAAGTATAATCCTTGCTTTTTATTATAACGAACATGTTATTTTAAACTACTAAGTTTTACATTTGTCTATTTCACATGAAATCAGACATGTTAACCCACTGAATCAAACTGAAACATCTGCTTAGCCTTAACTTTAGGACAAAGTCATACCTATTTTTACTGTGAAGAAATGACCAGTCTTGTGAAAGAAAAACAACCATGAATACTGTAACATCATATTCTTTGTGCTGTAACTTGTCAGAGATTCCTAGTAAGTTCTGTCTTTTGGTTGACTTCCACATGAAAATATTTTTTAAATACTGGAGCATTAGGTCTTTTTCCCCACTAAGATCTGTTAGCACACAAATAATCATTAAATATGGAAATGGTTCGTATTGGGACACATTCATCAAGTTCATACATTTCTAAGGCCATTGCTGAACTTTACTGCCATTAACAACTCTACTGTTCCCTAAAGCCAGTGTGATTTCACAGACGCCGTGGGGCTGGTAGTGTCTGTGGCCGCTATCGTGTTTTTAGCAGCTTTGGTGGCAGACCTGTGCTCTGAGAGCTGGTAAGCATAAACGTGCAAACCACAGAATTTCCCCCCAAAACATCAAGCTTTGAAAGTAGCAACCAAGTTCCGACTTGTAGAGTGTCAGGGTTTTGCTTTATTGGTTTCTCCAGCTAATGATTTGAACAGGTTAAAAACTCTGTCACTGAAATATGCCTGCCCACTGCTATTAATAAGTGTATCTCCTTATCCCATTATTCCCACAGCTAATTTAACAGGTGACCCTTTTTCTTTTGTTAAAAAAAAAAGAAAAAAGAACCTAGATTGACTGCATGTGCTTGAGTAGGGCACAGTAGTTAGAATGATTGTTTTTTTCTCCAATGAGAAAGCCTCACCAGTCATAACATCAGAATCTGACCAGTCCTAACTAGTCAGAATCTCAGAGCTTACGGGTCATGGAGGGCACGGGTCCAGGAGTCCTCCATCGAGCGGAGTCACAGGCTGCGGAATGAAGCCTGCACAGAGACGTGCAGGAGGAGAGGGCAGACTGCTCTAAGGGCATCGCTCTCTACAACTTCAACAATCCCACACATGGACTCTGTACATAAAGACTTGCCTCTCACACACCCAGGACCTTACCGTGCACCCTGGCGGGGAGCACGAAGCTTCCAGGGTGCAAAGACACGCTCTGGAGTGTTTTTGCTGACAAATCCCCTTTTATTCTAGGCACCATGAGTGCATGTGAGGGCAGTGTCTTTCCCCGCCTTACATGTATTTCTATCCGGGTCCAAGCAGTGCAGTGGGAAGGCTGGCTGTGGCCCTGAAACAGGCTGTATCAAGAGGGAGGGAATACACTTTTGTTCAGTGCCCTCATCACCCACTCCGGCTGGCGTCCAAGAACCACTGTCACCTGCAGAGGGCTGCATGACCGCAAACAACATCAATGAAGTAGGAAATATCCACGGCAGTGAGGCATCATTCAATCCAATTACAAACTGTGTAAAGATTCCTGATCTATCTATCTGCCTATCATTTATCTATTATCTGTCTACCTACCTACCTACCTACCTACCTACCTACCTACCTATCATTTATCTATTATCTATCTATCATCTATCTATCTATCTATCTATCTATCTATCTATCTATCTGCTATCCATCTAGAATAGAAATTCAGAACTGAGATGCTTGTGAAAAATGTATACTAATTTATTTGAACTGAAAAATATAAAGTCAGACTCTTTTTGACCAAAAGTAAACTAGGTTTTAGTGAGTACATGCTCTGCCAGTAAATTACATACAGGTACTTCCCTAAATTAGATGAGCTAATTAAAGAGAGATATTTAAAGCATGTAACATGATAAAAAAGAAAAGAAAAGCCTTCCAAAAGGATTCTAATGACAAAGGTGAATGTAAATGAACGAAAGCTCAATTTCCTACCAAACTCTGTGTGTGCCAGTGAGTGTCAACAGAGTGCCACTCAGGAAAAGTGCCGCTCGGCATCGTGCTAAGCCTGGCATACTTCACAGACCAGAAACAGCTTCAGAAAACTCTGTGACAAATCTTTCTGCAAGCAGGCAGGTGCCAATTCCTCGCATTCACTAAAACGGAAGAGGAAATGGGATGGAACTGACAGCTTGTAGACCGTGGCACACACTTTCTGGAAATAAATCACAATGTGATTTTTGAAATATGAGCGCTAAGGATTTCACATACGTAATGGAATCGCATAACTCTAAAAACATCCTTCCGTTTCCATCTGCTTCTTTTGTCCCAGACTTCTTATGTTTGTAACAATGGGAAACAGGAATACAGTGGATACTGCAGGTTGCTTTGCTCTTGTAATGAGTAATATTCATCCATGAATACAAAAACTATTTGAAAAAGTCCCCATTCATCTCATTTAAAGGGGGGGGGGAGTTTCCACTTCTGATGTTTAATAATTATCAAAATGTTTAATCTACTTACGTCATACTTAGGTTGATTTCTGTTGTATGTGCAACCAATAGTTACAAGCATAACTCAATGTAGAAGCAAACAGGTTTTGTAGAACACATAAGAGTACTATGGTCACAGGAAATCAAACTTAGATTTGTGTCCACATTTTGTTTCAGGCACACAAGAACCAAATAGTTCCAAGTGTGGCGATCCATGCTAGCTTTTCCTATGAAACACAAATCTCATTTTTGAGTGCCTACCGATTTCCATTGGCTTCAAACTGTTCCAGGTTTTAGAATGAACGTGTTTTGAATCAACGCCTTAGAATGTGTCTTTTCTACAAGGCGGTGCGACCTCTCATTGTAATCATGATGGAGAGACAAACGGACAGCATTGCCCTTCCTTGCTCAAATCCACGGACCCGGCAGCTCAGGTGAGCTGGGCACGCCTGCTCCTGCCTACAAATGCCAGGGGCCAGAGCTCTGTGAGGGCTTTGTTGTTTTAAATCACATGCCCTCGCTTTCCAAGTCATGGCCCTCGCTGATCAGGGCCACTCCTGCTGGCGTTTCAAGGGCTCCGTGTTGACCATCAGCACTCCTGGCAGTGGGCGCGCCTGGGACACAGTTTGATAAACTTGTACACACCTGGCACAGCCCCTTCCTCTGGAGAAAGGCCGGGCAAAGGAGTCTCTCATTGGGTCCTGAATTCCAGAAACTCTGGCTTCCCAGGAGATGAAGGAGGCCGGGTCCGGAGTACTCTCCTCCCGCCCACCCCGGAGCCTGGCCTGGGAATGGTCACAGGCAACACGGAGGCTGTCTGTAGGGTTCACCATGGGAGACAGGAGGAAGGATGAAGGCAAAACCACAGGTAGGGCAACTGGGTGCCTGTGGATAGTCTATTTATCATCTATCTATCTATCTATCTATCTATCTATCATCTATCTATCTATCTATCTATCATCTATCTATCATCTATCTATCAATCAATCTATCTATCTATCTATCTATCATCTATCTATCAATCATCTACCTACCTACCTACCTATCTATCTATCTATCATCTATCTATCAATCTATCTATCTATCTATCTGTCATCTATCTATCAATCATCTACCTACCTACCTATCTATCTATCTATCTATCTATCATCTATCTATCTATCTATCTATCTATCATCTATCTATCTATCTATCAATCATCTACCTCCCTACCTATCTATCTATCTATCTATCTATCTATCTATCTATTATCTATCAATCTATCAATCTATCTATCTATCATCTATCTATCTATCATCTATCTATCAATCATCTACCTATCTATCTATCTATCTATCTATCTATCAATCATCTATCTATCTATCTATCTATCTATCTATCTCTCTCTATCCACCCATCCATCCTCAAAGCGTGGAGGCCAGGAACCAGACCAGTTAAGGCCTCCACAGAAAGAGGGAGCTGTGCCGTGTCTTCAAACACAGCAGGGCTTTGTCTTGAAGATTTTCCCGCCCGGTCCAGTGGTGCCTGACTGTGGGAGCCACGAGCAGTGTCCCCCCGGCTGACTGTGACTTTTCCTTTCATCGGCAAGCATGTGCCACATGTCTCAGAACACAGGTGTCCGAGGGTGAGAACACAGAGAGACCACGTACCGAGAGCTACTGCCATTCCTCTCCACACTCACGTGACACCGTGTGCAGGGAAACACACCAGGGAGGTGGGGTTTTTCAGACAATGCCATACAAAAGGCACTGGGGCTCAGCCGGTGTGGCTCAGGGGCTGAGCATCGATCTATGAACCAAGAGATCACAGCTTGATTCCCGGTCAGGGCACATGCCCAGGTTGTAGGCTGGATCCCCAGTAGGGGGTGTGTAGGAGGCAGCCAATCAATGTTTCTTTCTCATTGATGTTTCTATCTCTCAATCCCTCTCCCTTCCTCTCTCTTTAAAATCAATAAAAACTTATGTAAAAAAGTACTTTGTATTCTGAGATATTTTATAGATAACAGTTTAGCAACACTAGATGTCGTAACGACACAACAGAGTATTTATAATCAGGCTGGTAATCAGGAGGTTTGGGACTGTTTGATCATCATCCTGTGACACCAGAAAGCCCACCGAAGTTATAAAATACTAAATACCTTTCCACATACAGCATGCATTTGCTGCCTGCCGATGATGTGAGAGAACAGATGCAGAACGATTACAACAGAAAGGCAGGGAAGAAATCCAGCTATAAAAGTCTGACTCAGTTTTGAAGAGGATAAGTGATAACATCTTAAGCCCCATGGAGGCACGGAAAATTAAGATGGCAGGAAGCCAGGCCAGGCATGTACAGTCCAGACCCCACCCTGCAATCCGGTGCTCTACCCTTGGGTTCCTTCGCTGACTCTGAGATCTCTGCATCACTTCTGTAAACCACCATGGGCCAAACAGGGCCATAGCCCCTTACATTCTGAGTGACGTGAGAGAAGACGGAACTGCCTTGCAATGTAGCCTGATGGGCGGAAGCAACATGGCACCCAATGGAGGAACCACTCTGCCTTGCACGTTCTATAAACAATACTGAACAGAACTCGACACGCCTGCGGACGCTCATTCCAGCGCTTCAGTTCCCAGGCCATCTTCCACCCGCCCAGCTCTAATTTGCTGAAATTGTCTAGTATTTGAGAGAATTGACACACGATGAACAATCATGAAAATTTAAAAGCAATCTGAATTATTTTGTTTAAACAGTCACACACATACACAGAGAGAAATAAACACATGTGCACACTCATACAGATGTAGTGTTTCAATCTGTACTCATACAAGAGAGTACATATACAGAGCCATTTGCCAAAGTTGTTACTAACCAAAATGGATGGACGTTCCTTTGGTCTTACACTATCCCAAATGATCACAGACTAAATGCTGGCCTCTGTCTCACTGCTCTCTTCACGGGAAGGTCACGTTGAATGCCCTGGCATGGCGCGCTCTGCTTTTCCCTGCGGTGCGTTTGCTCACACACTGCCACTGCCTGCTCGACGTCCGTCCTGCCTAGAAATTCCCTGGCTCTGGGGGCAGCTGTCGCTGTCTCTTTGTCGCTGCTCTATCCTCTGAACCTTGGTCTGGACCTGGCACATCATATATGCTCAGTAAGTGAATGCGGAATGAATGAATACTATGCACTCAAAGCAAGATCCAAGAGAAGCTTCCTTTCACAAAATCCCAGTGAATAAAAAGAAACACAACCAGTGACAGGGATTCCTATGATGGCTTCCGAGGATAACATCAAAACTAACACAGCATTCCAGCCCACACAGCCGCTGGGTGGAGAAGGCGTCACATACCCAGGGAAACAGCAATGACAGGCTGAGTTACCATCTATTCTCAGACTGAAAAATAAAACAAAATACACATCTGCAGGAGGGGAAGGAGAGAGGCTGGCTGTCTAACCAGAGGGCCCGCAGTATTATTCCCATAACAACGGTGTCCGTTTTCAACTGTTCAAGTACATGAGTAACAACTGCTCTTTAAGGTATGACACCAGCAATTTCAAAGCCCTCTCTCTCTCCCACATACAGGGGGTAAGGACACACGCATGGACAGAGACGTTCACAGACACACACAGGCCACGCAGCCCCGGCTTACCGCTGTCGCCGGCGGGCAGCGCCACGGTGTGCGTGGGCACGGCCTCCGCGTTCACCTTCCCGTTCTCAAACGTGTCGTTCTCCGTCTGCTGCAGCTGCCAGTTGAGGCCGAAGAGGTGCATCGCTGGGGGAGGAGACAGGCGGGTTAGAGGGCCGCTGCTTTCGCCGCACCGACAGGTCAGGTCACGTTAACACGCGACGCCGAGGGTAACTGCACGGCAGAGATCTAGAAACGAGCAGGCCCGAGCCAAACACAGTGGATCTGGCTCTGCTGTTTCTCCGTTAATTGCACACACATGCTCTGCTGTCTCCCCGTTACCTGGACCAGAACTCCTGGGCAAGAACGCTCGTCGGAGCTCCAGCCCTCCGCCCTGAACCCTCCCGCGCGCATAGCACTTCGTTGTAAAACCTACAGGTTCTCCAGAGACGCGATGCTATTCATTGGATGAAGGTAAAACTCAAAACTGGGCTCACAGGTGGATGAGTTGGCACATGAAATGATCAGACTGGATACTGATGCACAAAAGATACTATTTTAATATTCTAAATGTAAGAGGACTTTATAACACAACTCAGTGTTGGTCCAGATCAAGCCCACCTGTATATCTGTCAGGAAGCTTCATTATATATTGATCTTCCTATATAATAAAACCCTAATATGCAAATCAACCAAACGGCGGAACCACCGGTCGCTATGATGTGCACTGACCACCAGGGGGCAGACGCTAAATGAAAGAGCTGCCCCCTGGTGGTCAGTGGACTCCCACAGGGGGAGTGCAGCTGAGCCTGGAGCCGGGCTGAAGGCTGGAGAGTGCAGAGGTGGTGGCAGGAGCCTCTCCCGCCTCTGCTGCAGCTCTAAGGGCCGGGAGCAGGCCTAAGCTGGCAGTAGGACATCCCCTGAGGGGTCCCAGACTGCAGGAGAGCACAGGCGGGGCTGAGGGACCCCCTCCCCTCAGTGCACAAACGTCATGCACCAGGCCTCTAGTAATCTTATGCATTGTAAAAATGTTGTTAACTTTATTCATATAAAATATTTAGAAAAGACAACTATAAGATATATAGTTATACATTTCTAAACCTAATTAAAATTGTTATATATTATTTAATAGCATCCAACACACGCAGTAACACAATTATACTGGCACAGTGTACAAACTTTGGCTCTGCCCTCAATCGAGGATTTAACCCTGGACGAGTGAGGTGATATTGTTAAACATCAGGTTTACTTAAACAGTGAGGCTGGCTGCCCGACCTTCTTTCATCGACGTGAACTTCCTAGGCTAGGGGTGTCGAACTCAATCAGAGAAGGGGCCAAAATCTAAAATCCAGCCTAAATCGCGGGCCGAATGGTTTACTGAACAGTCATAAACTGTCATTGTGATGGAAACGCAGCGGAGTGCAGTGATGACAGCGCGGTGCGGGCCAGTGCATGTGGAGGGCAGCAGGACAGTCCTCAGGGTAGGGGCGTTTCATTTATTTATTCTTTACCCCAGATGACTGAGCTACTGGAAGTCACCTGGCCGACCATGGTACCTCCCCAGTAACAGTCCCTCTGACCACGATGCGTCCCGTCCCCTGGGGGACCCCCCACCTCCCTCAGACGGAAGGTGCCCACTTCCTGGGGAAGCCTGAATGCCGGGATGGAGCATCTTTCCCACGACTGTTCCATAATCTCTTGTATTTCATTTACCATTCACAGTGCCTGATACCTAGTAGGTATTCAAAAAACATTTTTTATTGATTTCAGAGAGGAAGGAAGAGGGAAAGATAGAAATATCAATGATGAGAGAGAATCACTGATCAGCTGCCTCCTACATGCCCCACACTGGGGATCGAGCCCGCAACCTGGGCACATGCCCTCACTGGGAATCGAACCATGACCTCCTGGTTCATAGGTCAATGCTCAACCACTGAGCCACACCGGCTGGGCTACCTAGTTTTTTTTTTTTTAATTATTATTATTTTTAATAAACCTTTATTGTTCATATTATTACAAAAGTTCCTCATTTTTTCCCCCTCCACCAGGTTCCTACTCCACCCTCTGCCCTTTCCCCACCCCCCACTGTCCTCATCCATAGGTGCACAGTTTATGTTCAGTCTCTTCCCGCACCACCCCGCTCCTCTTTTCCCTGAGAATCATCAGTTCACTCCCCTTCCATACCTCTGATTCTATTATATTCACCAGTTAATATTGTTCATCTACCTAGTAGGTTTTAATAAATATCTGTCCAATACATGAGTTTTATTTCCTGAGGTTTTAAAATCTAAGAAAACACTTGTGTATAAAAATATATAGTTATTCAAAGGAAAATGTAATAAATATAAGACACATACGTAAGTGGCTAAGACAAGAGTATTATATTATTCATTATTTGATTGCCTTAGGGCAGTGGTCGGCAAAATCATTAGTCCACAGAGCCAAATATCAACAGTACGACTATTGAAATTTCTTTGGAGAGCCACATTTTTTAAACTTAAACTTCTTCTAATGCCACTTTTTCAAAAATAGACTCGCCCAGGCCGTGGTATTTTATGGAAGAGCCACACTCAAGGGGCCAAAGAGCTGCATGTGACTTGCGAGCCGCAGTTTGCCGACCCCTGCCTGAGGGAATATGAAAAATAGTGAGTGAAAGTCCCCTATTATTATGTATAATAGATTGAATTTTTAAAAAAATATATTTTATTGATTTTTCACAGAGAGGAAGAGAGAGGGATAGAGAGTTAGAAACATCAATGAGAGAATCATCGATCAGCTGTCTCTTGCACAGCCTCTACCTGGGATGTGCCTGCAAGCAAGGTACATGCCCTTGCCTGGAATCAAACCCGGGACCTTTCAGTCCGCAGGCCGACGCTCTATCCACTGAGCCAAACCAGTCCCGGCTAGATTGAATTAAAAAAAAAAAAGATTCAACAGCTTGGGGACCTTCCATGATCATTCCCCCGTTTACCTGTTGACAACACCTGATATAAAATCATGACCTAGTAAGAAGTACAGCAGACACAGATGCCAATGTAGCTACATCTACCCTGTGTATCTGTGACTAATGTTTACACGTATGCTCCCTGACTCCATCCCAGTCTGTCAGCAATTTCTTTTAAACTCCGATTTTTCAAGGATGAAGATATAGGTTATGGAACGCCTGGATTTACAAATTGTCAATGGGCCAAGAGGTATGACTTCGGATGCCATTTTTGCACTAGACTAGCAGGATTTGAGTGGCAACATGTCAAGAGCTTTCTAAACACTGATCACGTCATATGTTTGTCAAGCTTCAGCTGCTTCCGCGAGTTCTGAATAAAACAGTGGGCGCTACTTAGGCCTAGAGAAAAGGTCTGACAGACATACTTGGGTGGAGCAACAATCACTACCCCCACAGGGCCAAGGGTCTCACACAAAATGACGTGTCATCACCCTGTGCTTTCACAGAGCATAAAAGTCCTCTAAAGAGATTAGCTCATTTTATTGGTTTTAATAGACTTGGAAGAGGAGAGACAATCCATAGATCATACACAGATGTCAAGGGTTAAAAGTAATGCTATGTGTATGTTTGAAGAGCTATTTTATTTTCTGCCAGATGGGCAACAGCTTATTATATATATATATATATATATATATATATATATATATATATATATATATATATATATATATGTATATATATTCATTATAGAAAACCTCAGTAAAATGGGATTCCAGTTCTACTGAAGACACCATCTAATGAGAACTACACGCAATAATATTACATCTTGTTCAACACTGCATTGAAGACAGAGGCCCACAAGTTGCCTGGTCTTAGAATATTACGTACTTTGAAAATACTGCTGGTTGAAATTTAGTGAAGCTAATGGCTCTTGCTATATGTAATTTAAGATATTTATACACATTCAGAGTGTCAGGGAGATTCACTTTCAAGGTAGTGCGAGAGAGAAGAAGAAAAGAGGAGAGAGAGGAGTAGAGGCAACAAACTCATAAAAGTCAAAATGCTCCAGAAATCACTACGCACTGGTTAGTAACATGCCATGCAATGTCCTGACAGACAAACAAAGAGAAAAGTGGTGAACTAAAACGCATCTGCAGGCGAAGAAGGAAGAGAACAACTCGGCCACAGCCGAGCTGGAGGGTAGACGTGAAGCCACAGGCAGGCCTGTGCTGCCAACCTTCAGGGTGGTACCATGGATCCCTGGCCAGAGCAGGACTGAACGGAGGGCGGGAGAGGAGGGTCAGAAGAAGCTGGAAGTCTGACTGGGAACATTATCTCAGTCTGTGAGAAGGCCATGCAGGCAGGTGCCTACCCCCTGAAGAGAGGCCACAGGCAACTACAGATACTGTCACAACAAAGAGTCGAGGAAACGTTCCATCTGGAGAAAACTCCGAGGGGGCTATGCAACCAAGGAACAAGTCCAAGAGGTCCAGGCTGGAGACATGGTGCTCATCCAGAGCCAGGACTAGCAGAGGTGGACAACGAACATTGCAGAACTATAGTATTTCATCTGAAAAAGAGCGAGATGACAAGCGAGAGGTCCAAGCAACGGTGTTGAGACCCCAGGGAGGGCTGCCTGGTTCAATATGAGGTGTCCACTGCCCCGCCCTGCGAAGAGTGAAGAACAAGCTGTGCCCTGGTGGGGTCGCTAAGTTGGCTGGGCATCATCCATGCACAGGGAGGCACCAGTCCCATCGTGAGCTCTATCCCTGGTAGGTGGTTCCCAGGGGGCAGCTGAGCAATGTTTTCCTCTCTCTCTCCACCTCCCTCTCTAACAATCAATGAATTATTAAAGAATTTGCAGTGTGACAAAATAAATTCTACATCGAAAGAACTGAAGTCTCTAACACCAGTTAGACCTTCTCAACGTCTTTAAGGCAAAACGTCTAAACTACCAGGTATGTTCAAAGCCTGTTATCGCGTGTGTCTCCAGTGGAACAGCTCACGGCGCTGGGAGAAGAAAGTGATGCTTTTACATGGGCCCTCGTGCAGCTCTGTGCCCATGGGTTTGAGACTGAAACAACAGAAGACCGATCAGGCCGTGTTAAGGAAAAACACAAATGGATGTGGCTGGGAGCCCCATGCGCTCTGGTCCCTCACCCCGCTGGGCTGAGAGCTGAGGTGGGGAGACCGGGCTGGCAGC